TTTTTTTTTTAATTTGAGACAGAGTCTCACTTTGTCATCCTTGGTAGAGTGGCATGGTGTCATAGCTCACAGCTACCTCAAACTCTTGGGCTCAAATGAGTCTCTTGCCTCAGCCTCCCAAGTACGTAGGACTATAGGCGCCTGCCACAACCCCTAGTTATTTTTAGAGACAAGGTCTCGCTGTTGCTCAGGTTGGTCTCCAATCCATGAGCTCAGGCAATCCACCTGCCTTGGCCTCCCAGAATGTTTGGATTACAGGTGTAAGCCGCCCCCGGGGCCCTCATTCAGGAGTTATAACCATGAATTAGTTTCAGAGAAAATTGCTTGTATACTTTTTTTTGGCATGATGTGTACCTGGTGCCTTCCTTTTACAGAAACAGGCCACAGGTGCCATCACCATCCCAGAAAAGTCTAATCCCTCCCAAACCTACTAATTTCAATCACCTAGTTTACATCTTACAACCTGCAAGCCCCATCTTGGGTTGGTTTTTTTTTTTTTTAGAGACAGAGTCTCACTTTATCACCCTCAGTAGAGTGCTATGGCGTCACAGCTCTCAGCAACCTCCAACTCTTGGGCTTAGTGATTCTCTTGCCTCAGCCTTCCAAGTAGCTGAGACTACAGGTGCCCACCACAACACCCGTTTTTTTTTTTTTTTTTTTAAGAGACAGAGTCTCGCTTTGTCACCCTCAGTAGAGTGCCGTGGTGACACAGCTCACAGAACCCGGCTATTTTTTTGCTGCAGTTGTCATTGTTGTGTTAGTTGGCCCAGGCTGGGTGTATGAGGCTGGGGCCCTACCCACTGAGCTACAGGCACCGCCCAAGTTATTGACTTCTATATAAGTAATCAGAATAAAATATTTCCCTTCTTCCAATTTGGGGAATAAATTTTTTCTCTCATACTCCAAATTACCACACTAGCTAAACGAGATAAATACAGGCCAAACTGTGGTTCTTACCTGAAAGGGGCCATAAAGTTCTGAAGAGGCCAGCCCAGGACAAAGGGCGTCACAGCCTGGGTCTTGCCTTCTCTCTCCTCATCCACACAGGCGCTGTCTACGTACCAGTTAATTTAATTTTGTTTTTCATCTTAAAGTGATTGTTATACCTAGAGAGATAAAAACCACAAAGGACCTCTTGTTATTTTGTTTTTGTTTTTTTTTTTT